TAAATTTTTTCATTTTTGCCACGAAAAGCCAAATTATTTTTTGCTAAACATTTCACAACAGCAATAATTCTAACCATCACTTCTTTCCAATGTTCAGTATCTTTTTTTATCATTTCTTGTAACTCTTTATCAATTGTTTCATTTTTATTTAACCTAATTCGTGTTTCGGTCCTAGTTCTTAAATTAATCATATGATCGGAACTATTTTCATGTTGTTTTAATGTTTCACCTAAATGTCTACAATCATTTATTCCTTCAATTGCCAAATTACTTTTAGTCTGAGAGGTTTTAAATAACTTACAACAAAAACAAAAAACTTTATCAAGTTCTTTTGAATACACTAACCATTTTCTATTATAAGAATCTCTATTTCTTAATTTATGAATAAAAAATCACAAAAAAAATGTATACCATGTGCATCTTTTGGAAAATTTGTATTAGGTTCAATTTCTCTATTAGACCCTTTTTCTATAAGTAAATCTTTCATTTTTGAATCTAAGTCATCCCACACTTTAGGATTATTAACCGAATCATTAGGTGAATCATTGGAATTTCCAATAGGATTATTAGAAGTATTAGGTGAATCATTGAAATTTCCAATAGGATTATTAGAAGCATTAGGTGAATCATTGGAATTTCCAATCGGATTATTAGAAGGTTTAACCAGTCTAACAATAAATCTATCTAAAGACTCGTGTAAAGAATTAGCCATTTATTGTTCTTGTCTTTTTGTTTTCTATTTTGGGCACCCGATGGTTGTTTTCAAGGTAACATATTTAAAAGAAATCAATTAAACAAATATAGTAGCAAGTAAACAATAAAACAAAAATATTAGCAATGAAAGATACAACTTGATCGGTGACCGAAATTTATGTTGTTAACTTGTTCTTTCTCACAATCAACTGATCTGGAAAATTAATGATGAAATCAAAATAATCAAAAGGAATAACTCTAAAATATGTCTTGAACGAAAATATTTAGCTACTGTTTCCCCCCCCCCCATCAAACTAAGTTTGCCACTACACAATCAAAATTCAAACAAGCTCATAAACTCATTATTTAGCCACTGTTTTTTTCCGTCAAACTAATTTACAAGAAGGCGCCTAAATCTTGGGGACTATAAACTAATTTACCCTTCAGCTTCAGTGAATAAAATTTAATTTACCCAAAAAATTAATATAAAACCTAAATATACTAAACCTAAACTTAACTCACGCAAAGAACCCTTAGCCGCTGGGCCCCTCTCCCTTCTCTCCACTCACTTCATCTTCCCCGATCGAAAGCCCTAAGGGCTTCCCATCAAAGGAACCACCCAACAGGTACCGAATTTTTCTGATATAGCTTTTCTTTTATTTTACTTTATTAACTGAGAAAAATGAAACTTTGCTATCCATTGATGGACCTTTACTTTTTATTGTTCAAGGTCGAGATTCATCTCAGAAAATTGTATTGTGTGAACAAAACTTTGCCCACTTTACCCCTTAACGTTGACGATGTTGCTCGAAGTGATGTTGAGATTGAAGCTGCAGTCTTGGACTCCGATGATCAAATAACCTGGTAAACATCTAACCTTATTTTACTTTTTTATTTTGTTTTTATTTTTATTCGAGAACAATAAAAAACAGAAAATGGTTGCATGGTATTGTTTAAGGAAATTGCATACCTCTGTAAATGATCTTTTATTTTTATTGTTGAATTCTCGCAAATACAACCGAGTTTTTTGCTGTTACCAAACATTTTTCATTCGAGAAGAAGCCCCCTAATATTACAATTATTTTCCTTTCAAATAAAAAATAAACCCTCATGTTGAAAACATTTTAATGTTTCGATATAACAAATTAAGTTTTATTGAATTTTAAGATTTTATAATCATTTTTAAAGTATATTCGATTAAGTCATTCGAATATCGAAATATTACTCCAAGTTTTTTCAAAGATCAATTTCAATCCTTACTAAAGTGTAAAATTGTGTTTTAAACTTAAAATATTTTTTGAAACAATTTTTGAAAAGTATTGCAAACTAAAATCAAGTTTATAAAGGGATGTACCGATGCACTCCTTGATGTATCGATGCACACCCTATTTCGAATGCATTTTGTGTACCGATGTACAAACCATGCATCGATGCACTCATGATTTTATTGAAACATCGAATGCATTTTATGTATTGATGCACAAGCCATGCATCGATGCACTCCTGACTCTTTTGAAACATTGAATGTAATTAGTGTACCGATGCACCCCAAGTGTACCGATGCACCCCAAGTGTACCGATGCACCCCAAGTGTACCGATGCACTAGGTCTTATAAAGGTCGAAATATTTGAATTTTACTCATAGTGTACCGATGCACCTACGCTCCCAACCAGATTTTTAAATGATAATTACACAATAACGGCTCTATTGACTTCACCAATGATCCCCAACGTTCAGAAGTGATCTAAGGTGTATTTAAACAAGCTGAGGAGCCATTGATCAACAACAATTGAGAGAGAAACAAAGAGAAAGCCTTAAACATCAAGTTTGAGCAATTCAAGTCAATTTTCATTCAATATTCGTTTTTTCTTTCAAGAACACTACTTGTACTCAATTGTATTCATTCTTGAGTGTTCTTTCTTTGTTATAGAATTGTGCAAACATCTTGCCTAGTGAGGTTTTTCTATAAGTTTGCAAAATTTGTATTGTTCTCTTTGGGAGAGAGTGTTCTCAAGAATTTGGGGTTTAATTCTTGAGGGATTTGTAAGATTACTCTTTGTCCTCAAAAGAAAGAAAAATTAATGAATTTGTGAAAAATCCTTAGTGTGAATAGCTAAGGTAGTGGACGTATACTTTGGTTGAGAAAGTCGAACCACTCTAAATCGCTGTGCAATTATTTTCTATTTTCTGCAAAAGCTTCCACCAATAATTTTATTGCCAATTCACCCCCTTTTGGCTATTTCATCGATCGATTAACTCAACACCTCCCATCTCTGTTACAAGTGTTTCGAATAGGATAAGGATTTTTAATCAAATGGTTGCCTTTGCTCACTCCCTTTTCGTGTATTTCACTTGCTAATGGTCCTTCTTTTCTTGAATGGTTTTTTCAAATCCTCTTTCTTCCCCCTTTTTTGTGCTTGAAATGGTTCCCCTTTTCTATTTTTTTCCACTGAATATTGCTTGTCCTCTTATTGATTTTTTTCGTTATTTGGTGAAATGAAATCCCGAAAATTTAGGGATTTAGGTTGTTTTTTCTTCTTTGACTTTGGGGATATTTAGTAGATATTAAATTTTGATGATTTGGGTTACTGCTTGCAGATTTGGTGATGACGACAAGGATGGCTTGGCTTGAGCTGGTGTGCGGCACTGTCAACTTGCTTCATTGGGGTTAGGGCTAATTTTTTTGGGTCAAATATATATACACACTATAAGTTCTTATAAACTGATGACCCTCTCAAACATGTTGCCCTAGGCTAAGGCCCATCTGGCACATGTATTGGGTCGGCCCTGAAAACAGCCTTTAAAGTATTTTCCAATTTCTCAAATTGCTCAACCGCTAATTGACTTGAAATTGGTTTTTCAAATGTTATTTCTTAAGATTAAAGAGGAATTTGAGCAAAAATTAAAATTATGGGTAAAATAGAGAGTTGGAGCCTCTCATCCACTGTTCTTCGAACACTAAACTACCATCCACACCGTCTAATACCACCAACACAATACTTCAGCAAACCGAACCCTTCCTTTACACTACAATTACCTCACCAATTCTCATCGGAAACCATTAACGAACACACACTGGCCCTTAACCCGAGCCGATAGCCATATCTCACTCACCTTTCTACCCGAAGCACACACATGCGCCTATCACATTGCCCTTCACTTTTTACCAACAATTCTCTAAACCAAATCTCGATAATCAAGCACCACAACACATTTAACATTGCTCATAAATCAACTCTCTATAAATTATACCTTTAGCCAAACCTAAAAATCAAACCATAGAAGCAAAATAAAAAATGCCAACAAAATAAAAAATAAAAAAGGAGAGGAAGAAATGAGTAGAGAAATAATCGAAAGAGAGAAAATATAATTCTACCTTTTTAAATGAGTTAAATGCATTATACGTTATTAAATTATGACTTTTATTTTAAATTAATCATCAAATAATAGAAAAATACCATAATTATTAAAAGAGGAATTAATTGATACACAAATATTATTGTTCGTGATATCAAAAAAGAAAATAAGAACTAAATTTATTGAGAGAGAAAAGAACGAGGAAACGACTTTTTTCTCTTCATATTACTGGAGTTCTCAAATCATAAAAAAAACAATTTATAGACATTATTTTCTTATTTGAAGGTTGCCCTATATATGGCTCCAATGATGTTTTTTTTTAATTAAAAACTGCTTGCATCTTGGACATTTTACAAGAACAATAATATTAGATTGATTAAACCGGTTTTGTGTTTGTTAATTACTGATCAATCAGTTAGATGAAACCCCACTTTGGCTGCGCCGCCTTAGAATTACGCACCTGGTCCATTCCCCAATAGCAAACCTAAATCAAATGATATATATATATATATATATATATATATATGTATATATATAAGGAAAGCCACATGTGTATATTTAGATTCTGCAGAGATTCTAGCCAAACTCGGTAGTTAAAAAAAAAGGAAGCTTTATTAATACTTCTGTAACATGAAGATATCCAAGTCGTGTTCTTTCCACCAAATCCAACGGCAAACTCAACTTCCCTCTGTTCGGGCCTTTTGGGAGATTCACAAAACGTGTCTGCATTCACAAATTTGGTTTCAAGATAAGATTTTCTGGATTATTGTCAGCTTTGCAAGTTGAAAATTGATTGTTTGTGAGATGGGCCCCACCATCTAACTCATTTATAATGCCTTAACTGGTTAATTTTATTGCAAAGGTGAGTGGTGATTCATGCATATTAAATGAGTGAGAAGAGAAAGAAAGCAAGTTGCTGGATCTTTTATGTCGTTATTGCCTAACTCTTTTTTTTTTATCTAAACTTCATTAAACTCCAAACAGCTCTGCTTCTCTCTTTTAATCATTTTGGAATAATATAAGAGCAGGTTTACAAAACATAACAGCAGTACAGAAAGTGGTGATGGACGGTTCTCTCTCTCCAAAATTGGCTTCAGATGAATCTGAAACTCAGGCTTCGAAAAGAAGGTTATTTTGCTTATTGCTACTATAACACAGGAAGATTTTTTTCTTTTTATTGCAGTTTTGAAATGACATTTCTAAGTTTTGTCATGTTTGTTTATTTCCAGGAAGGTGGTGGAAAGGACTGTGGTTACGGTGAAGGTCGGGGAAAATGGTGGGAAGCTAAAGAACGAAGGTCCGCCTTCGGATTTATGGTCGTGGAGGAAATATGGGCAAAAGCCTATCAAAGGATCTCCTTATCCCAGGTCTGTTCTCTTCTTCTAATTCACCAGTTCACCCCATGTTTCTTCACTTTGTGTACATTGTTTTGATAATTCTCACCGCAATTTTAACTTATTGATGTTTCTTACATGCAGAGGGTATTACAGGTGTAGCACATCAACAGGTTGTTCGGCCAAAAAGCAAGTCGACAGATGCAAAACAGATGCTTCCGTGCTTATCATCACGTATACGTCTACTCATAACCATCCAGGCCTTGATCTCGATTCCACCGACATAAAACGGTCGCCGGAAGAACCCCAAAGCAACCGTAGTGACGATGATAAGCCCCCAACTCCCAAGCAAGAGCAGGTACTGAAAGTTTCAGACCAAGAGTCGGAAGATGTACAGAAGGGGGCTAGCAAAACTAGCAGTGATGAAGAGGCAAGTGAAGAACATTTTCACTATTCACAATCCCCATTAAATGTTAGAGAAAATCGCCTCAGTGACCAAAAATGCCTTATAATATACGATTTTAACCAACTTTTTTTGGATTTGCGAAAATGACCAACAAAATCGCAACGCGAAATAAAAATCGCAACGCGATTTAGAAAATCGCAACGTTGAAAAGAAAATCGCAACGGTCAAAAGAAAATCGCAACGCGATATTCCAAGAATCGCAATGCGATTAAGAGAATCGCAACGCGATCTTCCAAGAATCGCAACGCGATTCAGAAAATCGCAACGCGATTCCAAGAATCGCAACGCGATTAAGAAAATCGCAATGCGATTCTTGGGTAAATTCTTTCAAAAGCTATTGTATTTGTTTCTTTCTTAAGAATTTTCTCTAAAAAGATAGTATCCGCGCGGACGTGTCGAAGACACGTATTACCACGACCACGACCACGACCACGACCACGACCACGACCACGACCACGACCACGACCACGACCACGACCACGACCACGACCACGAGACGAGACGGCGGCGGCGGCGCGCGAGAGTCCCCCTTGTTCTCTTTCACTCAACAAGGAAATGGGAAATCCAAGCCTTAAATACTCTTCCCAATAGTGTTTCCAATACTATGTGGGATTGAGCATTACTCAACACTTCAAAGAAAATATAGCAATTTTTGTAGCATGTTTCCCGCTTAATCCATATTTAAAAATATTAAAACATTTTATCATATTAAAACTATATGTATAAGTTTGAATTGAAATGTAGATATCTACAACTCTTTTAATTCTCTTGATAAAATGTTTTAATATTTTTAGATATGGATTAAGCGGGAAAATACTACAAAAATTGCTATATTTTCTTTGAAGTGTTGAGTAATGCTCAATCCCACATAGTATTGGAAACACTATTGGGAAGTGTATTTAAGGCTTGGATTTCCCATTTCCTTGTTGAGTGAAAGAGAACAAGGGGGACTCTCGCGCGCCGCCGCCGCCGTCTCGTGGTCGTGGTCGTGGTCGTGGTCGTGGTCGTGGTCGTGGTCGTGGTCGTGGTCGTGGTCGTGGTCGTGGTCGTGGTCGTGGTAATACGTGTCTTCGACACGTCCGCGCGGATACTATCTTTTTAGAGAAAATTCTTAAGAAAGAAACAAATACAATAGCTTTTGATTTTCTTCGACACGTTGTGATTTTCTTAATCGCGTTGCGATTCTTGGAATCGCGTTGCGATTTTCTTAATCGCGTTGCGATTCTTGGAATCGTGTTGCGATTTTCTTAATCGCATTGCGATTCTTGGAATCGCGTTGCGATTTTCTTAATCGCATTGCGATTCTTGGAATCGCGTTGCGATTTTCTTAATCGCGTTGCGATTTTCTGAATCGCGTTGCGATTCTTGGAATCGCGTTGCGATTTTCTTAATCGCGTTGCGATTCTTGGAAGATCGCGTTGCGATTTTCTTTTGACCGTTGCGATTTTCTTTTCAACGTTGCGATTTTCTAAATCGCGTTGCGATTTTTATTTCGCGTTGCGATTTTGTTGGTCATTTTCGCAAATCCAAAAAAAGTTGGTTAAAATCGTATATTATAACTTTTTTTTGGTCACTGAGGCGATTTTCTCTAAATGTTATCATAAGCCAAGAAGATTGTTTAATCGAGAATCTTGAGAAAACCCATGACTCGTTGGGATTTCTGTTGGATGAGCCACTGTGCTGTCCTCATATAGCGACATCCTCGACGCCAAAATCAGGTGAAAATGATTTCTTCGATGAGCTTGAAGAACTATACCCATATCTTCAGCTTTCACAAGTTTCATGAGAAGCGAAGTTTTCGATGGAGTCCCTTATTGATCTATATGTGTTTCTCCGTCTTAGAAGAATGTAATTGAAATGTTAATATTGAAAGTGATTATGCTTCCACTACTAGTGATTACATCTTTCTTTGCCACCATTTTTTCTCGTTTGGGGATTCAGAAAATGTGAAAGTTGGGTCACTTTGGCACCAGCAAAAGGAGGAAGAAGAAAAAAAAATTCTTCTTTTCAACAAACATAAAAATTATAGTAATAAACTTTTCAGCACGTTTTTGCAGCAAAAAGGCAAAATTCATATTCCTTGTTTAAAATCCATATTATCATAATTATTCAATACCCAATAAGACACTTAAGTAGACAATCATTTCATTTCTACAGTATAGCCATGACATTGATACCAAAAATACCTAAGCACACATTATACGCAACGGCTATTCATTACCATCAGCTGTAGAAGGTAGTGGTTGAAGTGCTTTCAAAGGATTCACGATAACACCATCAATAAGTCCATATTCCTTTGCTTCCTTTGCGCTCATAAAGAAATCACGGTCAGTATCCTGATTGATCTTCTCCAAACTTTGACCGGTGTGGTACGCGAGATAACCATTTAAATTTGCCTTATGATGCAGCATTTCATTTGCCTGAGAAATCATGCGTACCAGTCAGGGTACTGTACAACAACCGAACGAAGTTGAAGCTAATACTAAACAATTTTCTTAAAGAAGTCACAACTGCTGATATTTGGCTATGAAGGTATCCCATGATGCACTATTTAAACTTCTCTATTCTCCCCCGCCCCCCGCCCCTCGGCCCCTCCAGAAAAAAAGGTTCATATTTACTAACATAGTTTAAACAACATGAGGAGTTTGCCAAAAAAATACGCATACCTGGATATCGATATCAGTTTGACCTCCTTGTGCTCCACCGAGAGGCTGATGTATCATTATCCTTGAATTAGGTAAACTGTATCGTTTTCCTGGAGGTGTTAAGAAAAAAAAGGGTAAAGTAAACATTGTAGACTGGGGGAACTATTCCAATTAACAGAGCAATGAATGTACAAATCACAAACATTTATACCTTTGGTTCCAGCGCTAAGCAGAAAAGCTCCCATACTGTTCATTTAAGAACAAAATATATCCCATTAGTAATAGCAAAGAATTACATCCACACGTAAATAGAAAATTTTACTCAGTTACATCCATAGACATCTTACTTTAAACATATTTCATATTTCAGAAATGGAGATCTTTGGTGAACAACCATTTCAGAAATGATCCTTTCGGATGCAAAATCAGAAGTAATTTCAGATTTCAGGTTGGTTATGGGAGCAACATTCGTTTTTGGCAAGATGCTTGGGCACTGGATCATCCTTTAATGGTCATTTTCCCAAGACTGTTTTCCATCTCATTAAATAAGAATGGGAAATTATCTGAGTTTGGAAAATTTAGCACGTACGGCTGTCTTTGGGATATACAATTGAGGAGGGATCTGAACGATTGGGAAGTTGAGCAGTGGTCTAATTTGTTGTCAATCATTTCCAATTTTTCCATTTCAGTAGACTTACCTGATGGGCTGGTTTGGAGGGGTTCTGGGGATGGGGTTTTTAATGTAAAATCTTGTGTCAGTCTAAGTTATTCAGGGTCCTCAAGTTCGGAAGAGTGTCATTTCTGGAAAAATATTATTTGGAGAGGTTTGCTGCCTCCAAGAGTGGAGATTTTTGTTTGGCAAGTAACTCTTCAGAAGTTGGCAGTTAAGTCAGTTTTGGTTAGAAGAGGTATGAGGGGTATTGATGATGTGTTGTGTCCTCTTTGCAAACAAAGTGACGAGACCCCCTCTCATTTATTTTTTCTTGTTCGGTGGCTTGGACTATTTGGAATAAATTCATGTGGTTCTGGAATATTCAATCTGTTTTTCATGATGATGCAAAAATTTTCCTCCGAGCATGGATTGATCTGAAGAAAAACTCTCTCATATGGTATATCATTCCAGGGGTTGTCCTATGGACCATCTGGAAATTCAGGAACTATGTCGTGTTTGAAGGAGGGAAGGTTGATCAGGCTGAAATCTTCTTTCTAGCTAGGTTCAGACTAGCTTCATGGTTCTTAGCAAAATACAAACAGGCTTCAATCTCTAAGGACTCGCTTATTGCTAACCCTACCTTAGGGGATTCGTTTCTTCCTATCCCTAAGCCGGTTATAACGGTGGTTAAATGGTCCCCTCCTCCAAAGGGGTTTATTAAATTAAATGTTGATGTTGCAACTACTGCCGACTGGATGAGAAGTGGTTTAGGTGGCGTTTTGAAAGATGACTCTGGGTCAATCATAGGGTCTTATAAGGAGCCTGCAGGTACTGAACCTCCTTCTTTGATGGAACTCAAAGCTATCCTCAAGGGCTTATCATTCATTGCTTCTATTCGACACAGGATCAAGGACCGCATTATTATTGAGAGTGATTGCAGGGTGGCTGTGGACTGGATTAAAAATCCTATTTCCTGTCCTGTTGTTTATGTTCAGTTTGTTAAAGATATTATTGAAAAACTTAAAGCTTGTGAAGGTGTTATTAGATGGGTTAGTAGGGCAGCTAATCTAGAGGCTGATACTCTAGCTAAAGCAGGTATTGGTTGATTTGCTTGTTGTTTTAAAGGGCTGTTGCTTAGTTTGCCGATCTCCTTGAAGGAGTTCAGGGTTTTGTATTCCTTTGTTCCAAGTCTTTTATCTATGAAATTCAAGGTACTCTTTTACTCCTTTCGATGATTAAGGAACTCTTCCCGATTTCCATTAATCATGAATGGGGTTTCAAATGAGGCCACTATTTCCTATCAAAAAAAATATATTTCATATCAAAGTATTTGCATTTTCTAGAAATCAATGATTGGGCTCTGCCAATAAGCCATTAAACATGTTATTTTGTGATATAACTAACAACAGTCAGCTATAACCCAGTACTACCAAGCATTTAGGAAGGGTCACATAGAGCAGATAAGATTATTAATTCACCATAGGAAACAAGAATTAAGAATTTAATTCGCCAGAGGTGCAAATCAATAGAAGAGCAATCTAAAAGTTGCAATTCCTTTGGGTTTTTCTAACCAGGGTAGGGTTTTCTGCGAAAAGGGCACTCAGTTCAGACTTCAGAACCACCCTATCCTCCAATTCCTTCACCCATCATTACCACCCTCATTCTGAGGGCTATTGCTTTTCACTTTAACCATCTTGTGCCAAAGAACCAGTTTCCGCCATTAAAATCTGTTATCATGCATTATGATGTATAATTGAAACTGAGAGCGAGTCATGCAGCAAAAATGCATCCATATATGTCAGAAATAGGCCTTAACCTACAACATCCTGGAAATTGGGAAACCAGACAAACACGCATAACCTTTTTCCCGAAAGTGGGAAGCAAACTAAATTTGGCTTTGAAATACAAAGCTTAGGCATCAAGCAGGGGAGATATGAAAAATAAACCCATATCTATCACAATGCCCCTTCTATCTCAAATAAATCGAAGAATTACAAAAAGTTTGGCCCTATATATATACACACTAAGCAAGGATCAAATATCTGTTATAATGAACCAGACAATGTGATTTAAGTTACAAAATTAAGATCAATAATCCTTAGTTAATATACAAAGCAGCTATAGTTGCAGAGTATCATTTCCTAATGTTCCGTACTGAAAAGTGAAAATAATTGCATAAGAAACAGAAATGGTTGCATCAATGAATTTATACCTAGCAGCAAGTCCAACACACACAGTCGAGACATCAGGTCGGATATGCCTCATAGTGTCAAATACAGCCATACCTATGAGAACTCAAACCAAGCAAGTAAAAAATAAATAATAGAAAATTGTACATTGCTTGCTATTTGGAACACACCAGTGAGATCACAAATACATTATTCTCATATGATAGGTACATTACCAGCTGTAACTGACCCTCCAGGGAATTGACATACATGACAATGTCCTGTGAAAAGATAAAAATGCACAAGTATTAAATACCATTCATAACTGGAACTCAAGCCTCCTTATTTCATTAATGAAACAAATCTAAGTGAGAGCAGACGGGAGACAAAAAGCATGGAACCAACCAGACCTTCTCAGGATCAACAGCATCAAGATAGAGGAGCTGAGCAACAATAATGTTTGCCATGTCATCATCAACAGCTCCGCCACAGCGAATTATTCTCTAACAATAAAATAAACCAATATAATAAACTGATAAGTGATAAGAGATAAAACCAAGCCTCATGAAGCCGAAAAAAAGGACCAAACCGAATCCGTACATATTGGAAAAGCTGGGCAATAACACTCTGAAATCGCTCTTGCACCATTGGAGAGGGCCCCTGCCCTTGTGCATATGCAGGGAAGTAAGGCGAAGATGGGACTTGCAAATCATCCCTGCATATATCTCAATATAACAACTCTAATCTGTTATCAACAGTTTTATTAAAAGAGAAAAGTTTGACAGCATAAGGTTGTATTTTCATAAGAGTTTCTTCTACCTTATTGACCAAATTCCCTGTCGAGAGCTTGCCTCTGGGGCCCAAAACTCTCCTATGTAAACAGCTTTTGGCTGCGGATTCCTCACATTGTTTTGATTACCAATCAGCTTCTTCAGTTTCCTGAAATTTTACTTTCCAAGCATTAGCCAATTAGGAGAATAGTAAAAAAGAAAAAAAACAAAGATTAAAATCCATGTTGTACCCATCCTAAAGAAACAAGCATTAAAACAAAACATGGGTTTTAATTAAGGTTGGAAGAAGAGTAAATCTATTACATTTTCCTAAAACGTTTAATTCAAAAAAGACTCGAACTTTGTGATTCTATTACATTTTCCTAGATTGTATAAGAGGAAGAAGAAAAGAAAATACCTGGGACGAAGTGGATGGAAGGGAAGAGATAACTTATGAGAGTACAGATTGGTGCTGGAGTTTGAAGAGAAGCCCGTGGAAATCAACCGAAAAGACGATGCCGATGTCGAAATGCAGGCCTGTGCCATTCTGGGTTTTATTGTAATTGGACGAAGGAACGTTAGCGTGGCCTTGAAAATGGCGAGGTAAGAGTCGGGAACGATAAGGGTAGCGTGTAGCTCTCTATAGAAGTGTAGTGGAACAAGAAACTAGTTTTTAGTTAAACAGCGACTTCCTCAATATCTTTTCTCCAGAAACAACAAATCCTCTTGTTTGACCCGAATTTGTATTTACCACCCGGAGGTAGATGGCAGGAGTTAAAGCCCGGCCCGTTAACTTGGATACTGATCCAATCATCCAACTCAATGCCAATGCCAATGCATGGATTTAAAGAAAAATCATAGTTAATAGCTATGTTGGGATTTTATCTTCCATTTTAAAATATAAAATGTTGAAGTATCCTTTTTCTTTTTCATGTTATCACTTATTCAGACGCAGACTATCACGTTAATATAATAAATTATCATATTAACATTGTGGAAAGTTTTACAGTTAAGAATTTATCCTAGTTTTTTTTTCTCTGCTTTTATCCATCTTTATTTGGCTGATGGCAACATTAGCTTTAATGTTGGTGGTCAATCATCAATATTTCTTATTTTTTTTCTTTGATTTCTTATATCACATATATGTTTTTATTATGCACTTTTAGTGTCTAATACATTTGTTTAAATTTAAGCTTGGAAATGTTGCGAAGAAAGTAGGTTTTAGTGTAAGTTGTTACTAGGCTTGAGATTGTTATCAGCTGAAACGGCTGCAAAATGCTGAATTCGTGTTGCTTCAATTGTAAAGGTACATATAGCGCAACCGGCGGTGCTTGTGGGCAGGTGTCGAATTCATCAAGGGAGAGAGAACTGTAGGCGTTTGTAGACCAATACAGCTATAGAGAAATCATCCTGGTATAAAATTATGACTCTTGCTTTTTCGTGTATATTGTTCATCTAAAACGCGTGGTTAACATGCACAACAGAGTTGTAAAACACAGAAGAAATGTAATGATGGAAACTTTTTACATACATCAACAATTCGTACATTGAGAGCACGATGGCATCAAAAAGTTGGTTGGAAACCTGAATCAAGATGCTAGGCCTTTGGACATGTCATTACATCCACGTTCTTTTGAATAACCCTTCGTTTATTAGCAATTGGGCATATATCCAGGCAGGGCTGTTTCAGGGTATCATCATTCTCCGGCAATGGAGGATTGACCCCAAATTTGAACTGTGAGAACAAAGTCAATACAACTTAATACAGGCAATTGGTAAGACAACAGGCTTGTTGTAACAAGGATATAGCAGTGCATCATTAGATGTCCTTTTGGTAGTTAGCTAGTTCTTAAGCAGAATGGTTTGAATTACATGTTGGTTGGGTAGCCCTGTTTTCGCCGACAACAAATATTACCTGACAGCTATAATCATTGAAGTTGGGCTCCATCACCAAAGGAACCCCCACGTAATCCTTGAAGAAACTCTGCAAAAGAAAAGGAAAGAACATAAGTGAAGAACACTCGAGTTAAATTATAAATTGTTTTTTTTTAATTTGAACAACTCGACTTTCCTAAAAAAAATTCAAATTAAAATCGAGTCACAAATATGATTCATCAACTCGATTTTTTTACCAATATTTAGTCGGAACTCATCTTTACCAATTTGTTACGAAAGAAATCCAGGAAGAAGTCGTCCAAGATTCCTTTCTTATACTCGAGCTTTGATCGTTGAATTTGTATCTGAAGAAACAAATACTACTAGTACTGAATCGAAGGTTTCAAATTTCAGAATAGATTAGTGACTCAAGCGTCAAGTATAGTAGTAATAGATGAATCAAAACCCACCGTTTCGGATGAGACTGAGGAGCAAAAGGCAGGGGAAAACCTTCTGTTTTGCAGCAAAGATTTGGAGTGAGGAAATAGAGTGAGCATTGTTTGCGGAGCATGAAGAGCCAGAGCCAGAGGCTTCATTTTCATATAACTTGCCAAGCCACTTATTTTATTTTTTCCGTTTTATGTGTTATCAAGCGTTTTAACTTTAAATTTGGAGATGGATACAGATCTAAAAACGCGGCGTCTTAATAGGGCAGCAGAAAAAGCCTGTAATAGCTTGTCGCATGAATCAATTATATCTTTTAAATATTTAAGTAATCAAACGATTTCAGATATAAAATAGAATGTTATTTTCACTAGAGATATTTGATCTAAACAATTACATTTGTAGGATATGTGTGCACTATTAATCATTAATAATGATTCTGAATAAATATTATTTTATAATTACTCTATATTATTAAAAAAATAATTTTATTGATAATATCATTTAATACATTAGAATACACTTTAGGCGATTTTTCCAAAAAAAAATCACCCTGACAGACTTTTTTTACCTGTCAGACACTCTTTCAACTTTTTTTACCGATCTAACACCCTTTGAAGTAAGGTACGCCCCCTGTAACGTGTTTTACGCTGATCTGACGCTACGTGGAGTAAGGCGCGTCCCCTGAAACACGCCTTATGCTGACATGGATACCCGTGGCTAAAGCGCAGCCCTAGGGCGCGCCTTATGTCACGTAGGGCTATAGCGCAATTCAGGGGCCGTGCCTTCCTACAATTATGACACGCGTCAGAAAGACGTGCACCCTGTAGCGCGTCTTTGCTTAATTATCCACCTACCCCCGCCCGTTCACACCCCATCCCCTCCCTATAAATACCTCAACTTTCAATCACTTTCATCACACAAAATCCTCTCAACTTCTCTCAAATACTCTTTATATTCTCTTATAGCTCTTTAAGGTATATTTTATTATATTTAGTATTTTGTTAGAAATTTATTTAACTATTTAAATTATTTAAAATTTTATTTAATTAATTTTTTTTGCAGATATAAAATGGAAGGCGATCTACTTCGTTTGGATGGAAATCATATATCTCGATATTTTGCTGATACGGTAACATTTTAACGTTTTAATTTAATTTAAATTATTAGTAATAATTTATTTATTTATTTAATGCATGATTATTAGTTTATAAATTAATTTTTGTAATTATTTATATTTTAAGAGAGAGATCGTATGTTAGATCATTTTATTATGAACCTTAAGTTAGCGATACATACCCGTGTCTGGCCGTATTTAGTAGAGGTTGAATTCGGTCACATAGGTAGATATGAAAGTCATTGTAAGATAGAACCATACCTTATTTCTGCCTTAGTGGAGAGGTGGAGGCCGGAGACCCACACATTTCATCTTCCGTGCGGAGAGTGCATGATTACGCTTGATGATGTTTTTATGCACTTGGGGCTTCCGGTGGATGGAGATGTGATATCAAGGATAGCGCACAGTTCATGGACTACTTTGTGTCGGGATTATTTAGGATGTGTCCCGCAAGATTTTAACGGTGGTCGAATATCATTAAATTGGTTAGATGCCAATTTTCAGGAGTTGAACGAGGATGCCTCTGATGATGAAGTTAAAATGTATGCACGGGCATGCATACTGCAGCTGATATGAGGATTGTTGATGCCGGACAAATCGCGCAACCAAGTTCACTGTATGTGGTTGCGACATCTTGTCGACTTTCATCTGGCCGGACCACTCAGTTGGGGCTCGGGAGTTTTGGCTTTATTGTATAGGGAGATGTGTCGAGCGAGTGACTACAGGAAAAATGCTATCGGCGGATGTCTCCTTCTGCTGCAGTCTTGAGCGTGGTATCGATTGCCTTTTTTATGTCTTGTTATGAAGAACTCGTTCGTATTTCCGCTACTATTGAGGTAATTATAAAAATGATTTCGTATATTAATCATTTTATCCAGTGTATAATAATTTTTTCCTTGAATAAGTGGTCTACTGACAGGAAAAATCATCAGGAGCTACCTGATGATTTAAAAAAAAATAGGGTGCTAATCGATCAGAAGACTGGTACAAAGGTATGCATTTTAATGTTTAAAAATTGATTTTAGATTATAGTTATATAATTAAATTATTATTTTGATAAAAATTATATATATTTGTTTTAGTTTGAATGGGTGTCATATTCTAATAATGATGTAAGGATGTGCATCTCACCTGAGTTGAGGGCCCATCAGATGTTTGGATGGCGATGGTCCCTTTGATCTGTTATGCGATCATTGAGTGACACTCCACTGATCGCATGCTCCGACAATTTTGTTGTTTTCAACCAATTCCGAAAGCACCTCGTAATATGGACGAGTTGTATGGCACACATCGACTCGGCAAGTCAGATACAGATTTGCTAGTGAAACATCATGAGTGGGTCGTGCTGTGGGATGATCAACATCGGTACCTTCCTCATAGAGAGCCCATTTATGATGACCTACTGACGGTTGATGATGATTATTATGAGTGGTTCAACAGTAACGGGGAACTGTTTATGCTTTTCGAGGATGCACGAGGGCGGACGTTTAAACGACGTCGATAGAGACGTTCACCGACATAGCATCATCGTCCCCCCGACTCGTGGACGGAGAGCAAGTGCTTCCAGTTCATCCTCAACTACACCAGCAGGACCTTCACAGCAGCCACCGTCTGCATCGACTTACATACCACAACCATATATGATGCCGCCACTGCCTTTCCCTTACCAGATGCCGCCGTCGCCTTCACCTGGTTTTATGACCCCCCGCCTCCGGCGTCATAGAGTTATATGACCCCTCATGGAGAATATTATAGGTCTATGTTTGTAGATCCGACTTTGGGTTCATATGCTGGTTATTTGACGGGTGCAGCCTCATCACCCATGGTCGCCGCACAGATACCTCCTGTACAGTTTTCACACTCATCGATGTCTGGGTTTTATGAGTTTTCGCAGTTATCTATGAGTGGTGGGTTAGTCAGTCATACACCTCCAGGGTCCTTATTATATGGAGGTGCTACATCGTCATCAGTTCCTCATCAACAAAATATATTTGCTCCTGACGACGACGACGATGGTGATGATGACAGTGAGAAGTCACAACCAGTGATACGAAGAAATCCTCCTCGAGACCGACATCCATAGCCCTGAGGAACACATTCGCATCGCAGACATCGATAGATTTTATTTTTTTATTATATTTGTATTTAGTTGTTTATTGGACTTTTTTTATTGTATTTTTTTATTTATCATTTAATAATTACTTTATTTTGTTGGATTTTTTTAAAATTTGTTTTGTTTATTTTTTTGGATTTTTTGTTAATTTATTTTGATAATTTTGTTTATTACCATTTAATATCAGTTAAATTATTTATCATTTAATATCAGTTATTATAATTTGATTATTATTTACCATTTCATACTTATTGTAAGTTTGTTGTATTTAGAATTATATCCAAATACCAAATTACTATTAGTTTGATAAAAATTAATAATTGTGTTCGATAACTTTCTTAAGTTTGTCACTTATTATCTCTTTTATTATAATCACATATAATACCAACGTCCAATCTCGTTTTCTTGTATCATTTTTTTAATCTTCATCAGTGGTTATCGAATGACATTAACTTTAAATAAATGCAAATTAAAGTACAAGAATTATTATTTGATAAACAAAAACTACATCAGTTCCTCATCAATGGTTACTTGATGGCAACAGAAGTGGATATGTTCTCCTAGTGTGTCCTGAGTTTCTACAATGCCCACATTATTTTTCGTGTCCAGATGTTTCTCGAATATCCATATCACAATGAATTCGAGTGGATTTTGGATGACCACGATCCCTCAATAAAGTCGGGTCTAGTACAATCGAAAGCCAATTCTGAACCTCATTAGGGTATTCATCATTACCTATGGGGGGAACTCAAATTAGTATACCTTAAACGCTTCTGATAGTAGGTATACGGGATCCACAAAATGGTTATAGTCTTGACGGGTATGCAACATCTGTCCTGTAGATTTACTCTGAACGACACAACATCAATCCCTTAAAGAGGTCGAGGAAACTCTGTGACACGAAACAATGCATGTGTTCTAGAGAAGCTTGTTACAAACATTTCATTTGATGCCACATTTTTTTTGTAGATCTGCAACTAATATAGGGTGATAGACATGACTGTCTTGCATCAATGTTTGAGCTTGTCCCCTGAGCTTCGCAAAAAACGCCTCCAAACGAATATATATAGTTTTTACCAAAGCCGCTACAGGTAAGTGACGTGCACCCTTTAAGGTCGAATTGATTGCCTCAGCCAAGTTGGTTGTCATGTGTCCATATCGATACCCACCATCATATGCGTTTGTTCACATTTATTTATCGATGAAGTTGATGTAATCGTATCATTCCTCGTTCTTCGCCCGTAAATCTTGAAGCATAGATTCAAATGTTTGAGGAAGTATTTCGTAACCTGATCAAAAAATGTAGAACTTACTAACTTTGTTTCCTTAAAAAATGAAAACGATCAAAACAAAAAGGGTGGTTTCGCTTACCCATGCGCACAAGTAATTGGCGCTCATCATTCTTTTTTAACCTTCCATGGTAGTTCGCAGGAATGTGTCGGATACAATACTTATGTTGGACAAAGGGTGGCTACCAGAATG